CAGTAGTATCGACTATCTTGCTTTGGTAAACGACTGAGATTTCAAAGTTGATAAATTAAAAAATTGTAAAAAATTAAATAATTGGTCTATTTATAAATCTTTTTAAACATTTGTCACTTTTAAATTCCTTCCATTTAACAACTTACTCGGCATATTTATTTATTTATTTATATCAAATGGCAGGCGTTTTGATGGTTATCATTAGCCCTTTAGTTGACTTCAGACCTCACAGAGGGGAAGGAACAACAAAGTGAAAAAAAGTCGAGGCGAGGGGAGCTGAAGAGTGTTTCAAAGACGAAGGTAGAAAAGTTAGAAAACAGGTGAGGTGAATACTGTGGAAGTCAACTGCCGGTTAATAGACTTTTTTTGCCGTATAAGTATACGTTGCCCAGGGTGCACCACGTGGAGGTAAGTCTATCGCACACCCCACTTACTCGGCATTATTAACTCAAAAACTGCATGATACAATAGGGCTGATTTTAGTAGTTTTAATTATACTTTATATAATCGTGTTTTTCAAGACCGCATATAACAAATACGTGGGGAACTCAAATACGAGCAGCAGTTTATGTTACAGCTTGAACACTTTAAACGATCACCATTCTGGTGTACTTTAGTGAAAAATTGCCAGTTGTAAAATCTTTCCTTTATTAGTTCAAATTAATGATTACTTAAAAACGAGCTAACCCAATAGACATTTCCTAGAAAATATTTAGTGAATTTTGAAATCAATATTAGTATTTGAAAATAAATTCAATTATCACATTAAGGAAATTGAGCTGAGCATGAAATATCGAGGCGTGCCACAATGTCGAGAAAAATCAATGGCTGACAACAAATTATGCTAATAGTATAAAAGCGGGTGGCCTTAGAAAAGAGCAAGGCATTTTGAATGTGGTAAACGTTTAGATCGATAAAAGATAACAAATCCGTGGCCATAACAGAAGACCAAACGACAGGAAATTTATCAATCATTTCACAATTTCTAAAATAAAAAGCACGTTAAAAATAGATTAATTTAAAGGAATGCATGAAATGATGCTTAATAAATTTCTAAACATGTTTTTACCCGAAGTACCGTTATCAAGATTTCAGATTAGGTTTGAAAGCGCCAGATTTTAAAGCAAACTCCACTGTACTAAATGCATCAATGAAAATTACGTTGAGATTTTCATGTACTGATTTCGTCAGTATATAGTAATCAATTTGAATTAAAAGAACTCAAAATCACAATTCTAAGATTTTTCAAACTGCTAGAATGCAGGCATTATAAGTTCAAATACTGTTAGAGTTAATTGTAAGATATTTTTCAATAGAATTTAAAAGCTATTTGTGAAAACTTGAAATAAAAAATACCCTATTAAAAAATTAACAATCGCCACTATGAAATGCTATACTTTAATATTAAATGCATTCTCAATTTTGATAAATTTTATAATTTTGTTTTAAATTTTTCAGTATAAGAGTTCGACCTTAATGCATACTCTGCGCATTTTGACTGCATCATGTTGCGAATTCAAGTCGAAAAGGCAATAAATCTTAAAAATGTGGAGTTAATAGGAAAAAGTGACCCATATTGTAAAATCCAATTCAGAGGTATGTTAATTCAATAACCTGTGGTTTATCACATTAAGTAAATGATTATAAATACGAATATATTACACTCTTTATCTAGAATATTGCAATTAATCGAGTTCTCGAAGATTAAATAATATATATTTCATATCATGAGTGTTTTTAGTAAAACTTTGTATTTGCATCTCTGCTATAGTTATTCAAGTTTTTCACCAAGCTTACTTTTATACGAATTTTTAAACCTATATACATGTATATTTCTGTTTATTTTCCCCTCCTTTACGCTATGCGGATCTCTAATTATTTATTTTCTACTCAGGTGAAAAGAAAAGTACCAAACACATTAATGATAATCTAAATCCTGAGTGGAATGAGGTATGTCCTTGACATCAATTGACTCAATTCTTTAGAGTCTTGAATTTGATTTGAAAAATGAAGCTCTGATACCAAATGATGAATTAGATGTCAGAGTATTTGACCACGATGACGTTTCCGTTGACAAGTAAGCTAATTTTGCTTTTAATTGTTATTTATTTGAGTCCTTCACTGGGACTGTGGTTTTAGTTTAAACTCAATTCAACTTAGAAATTATTTTAATAACAATCTATTTCATTGAAAATTAGTTCTGGCAACTTTAATATTTTGTTTTAGATTTATGGGAAAAGTAATGATACCCTTGGGTTCCCTTATCGCTGGTGAAAAGGAGAAGAAGGAAACACTTACTCTGAACGATAAGAACGGCCGACCAACACAGGTAAATTAGAATTCGTATTCTCTTCAATAATGAAAAAGTGTTTTGAATATTTTCTGTTATGTTCTTAAAACCAGTACCTTTGACGACGCTGTTGGTTACATCACTTGTTTTTAAAACTATTTTTTATTTGAAAAGGTACTGATTTTTAGATAAAATTTTTGAAATATTTAACCTCACTTTTTGTAATTTCCTGGTGGGAAAACTTGCTGTTGAATTAACATTGAATCAATTCAATTCAGGATAATAGATTTTGATTTCGAGACCAATTTCTACAGATATCATTGAAAGATTTCTCAGATAAAATAGAGAAGAATAGTAATTTAGATTCAGTGCTTAGTTAGATATCGATTAATGAATTTAAAAATTGAAGGAATTGCTATTTGGCCAAGAGATAGGACCATTTATAAGATGGTGAGGTAAGGTATGCACAGAATTTTGGAATATTTGATTTTAAAAATAAGTATAATTTGTTGTCTTTTGCAGCAAAGTATCCAATTAGTCATTTTCTATCAACCACCGGAAGCACAAGGCCAAGGTTCAGGTGTCAATAGTGGCGGTAAGTGGAATTCCAAATTTTACTTTTAACCAATTTTGTTATGACAAAAGTAATACAGAATCATCTCAGATTCCTATTTACAATTTAAACGTAATCCACGTCGTGTTAGCCACATTTCCCAAAAAAAATTTAAAGGAGGTTCTAATTAATACTGGGTTCTTTTACCAATCAGGCCCTTAAAATTGGGCGCACAGTGTGACGTAAGGTCGATCAGAATCATAATCCTGTCCAAATCACTCTTACACTGATTGGTTAGGCACTATCTTGTACGTGTGTGCACATGAAATCCACCTTGTGTTTGCTGCATTATTAAAATTCGTAGTCATGATTAGATAGGAAGACGGTAGGAGGATGGAATCCAACAAAGTGACCATTGATATTCACGCATGTCAGAGTAAGTTTCTGTCAAATTAATGTAATTTAGATATTGTTTGGTTAGGTCATGCTATCTAGTATGATTGTATTTACCGTATCTTAGCTTCAGAATCCTTTACTGATTTGTACTTTATAATTTCCACTTTGGATTTAATCTATACATAATCCCAGGTTTGACCGCAGTCACTAGCTTACGTACACATATTTTGCACACCATTAGATATCAACAATTTAAATGATAACATGAATTTTCTTACAAAGTAATATAATTTTCGTAACACCTAAGGTTAATTTTTTGGCAGAGTATATCAATATAAGTAAATAATCATTAAATGCAGAAGTTGTAAAAATGGCCTATTGAAGATGTCCTTGATAGGTGCATTTAAAAAATGTACGCTTATTCACATGAACCCAACGAAGAATTAAAATACTGTTTATGCACTTAAATTCCCTTTTCAATCGATCTTGGACTGTTCAAGAAATGGGACTCAACTACCTAAGTTCTTTACTCACGTGCCGTTTGGGAAGGAAAGGGGCTAATTTAATTTTCAGGTAAATAAATCTCAATTCAATTCTCCCATGTGAACCAACTCCGAACTTTCCTAAATTAACCCACTCTAGGAAGCATGTCACATTTCCTTCAATTTAAATCGTTGATTTTTTAAAGTCTTGGTGATGCAAGCGCCAAACGTTTATGAGGAGAGTTAGTTCAGTAGCAGTAGAAAATGCCATAACTGGCTGTGATCAAACAGTGATCGACCTTGAAAACAGCTATTTGAAAAGTAAATAATATTCACTGCCTCTTTAGCATTTTCTTGTGCAAGTAACGTATTTGCCACCTGTTGGTCAGAATTTATTTCAGTAGTTTTGCTACACAGTCAAATGGGTGATGCAATTGTTATGAGGTGTTGCTATAGTAACTCGTTTATCATGAGAATGACAAAGAATAGGCAAAAACTTGTTTAAAGCATGTGCTCATTTTGAAAAGCAAAATGAATCAAAATTTATTGATTTCTAAATGGAAATTGATTTTGTCAATTTTATTTAGGGAAAAATACATGGACTCTTTTTGGAAAATTTTCCGTTCCCCTATTAGTTGATCAGCTTTTGTTCAAGTCACTCTGTCTGTTGTCTTTGATTATTTTTTATAATTAGTTGTTCTACTCACAAAATTATATTACAATGGCTCATGTCGTCCAAATTTGTTAAGCTAATTTAATTTAAGCATTAATAAATTATAATCTTCTACATTGAAGCTAAGCACTTTTTGTTTACTTAGTATAGCCAATTTCTTCGAATTATAATATTCCAACATTAAAATTTTCGAATTTGTTTGTTGGTTACCGAGTAATTTTTTCACGACGGTTAGAATTAATTTACCGTTTGATAAATTTGAAGAGCTTTTTAACGATTTGAAATACGTTTTATACACGAATAGACAAAAGTCCAGCGGGTTGATAAGAGTTAACTAAATTCTAACATAGCGGAGTTCACTGGAGTCCACTTAAGGTGGATTTTACTCCCAACATCCTAGCAATCGTTCATGGTTCTGAAAGGACAGAGGATAGGACGTTGTAAATAGACAAATCGGGAATAGGAGAGATAAGGTAAGAACAGTGAGCAAGGTAAGTGTTAAAGTTCACCATAATGTTCTGATTAAGAGTCTCAATAGTAGGAAACAACTTATGGTGATTTCGATTATCCCTATTACTCATAACTGAGTGTGGTTATTAGTTTCAAAGTAACACCTACGCTGAAATGTGGCATCGAATAAACCAGTTAAGAAAAGATGAGTCATGAATTCTTCTGAAATTCAGATTTCCATTTTTCTTTAACTTATTGTTTATTAATATTCACTTTCGCTTCTGTCAGTTGTCGATTCTCTTATGTATAACTTGGCATAAATAATAAATACCTAACACATTCGCCAATGCATCAATCATTTTAATTCTAGTAATATCGTAAAAGAAGTGGCGTCTTAATTATCAATGAGTTTTATTTCAAGCAAAAACATTCAGAAAATATGGGGTGGGGTGGAGGGGGGGGGGGGTATTTGCGATTGGTGTAATAAAGTGGTTTTCTGAGAGACAATTTCTGTTTGATGATGAATTTATTTTTTGCCATACAAAGCATTTACCAAACTCCACTATTTTGGCCCTAATAACCTTGAAGATAATATTTTTTGCTAAGACGTGTTCTCTACTTTAAATTATGAAATTTTCTACTTCGTCATTTTTTAATCCTTCTTAACTTTGCTTTTACGAAACTAATGGAGCTCCAGTATTAGAGAATAAGTTAGATCTTTCTCTTCTAGTAACACCTTGATGCAATTATATTATTAATGATTAAAAAACAGGCAAAATCCCCATGCACCAAGTTTTCAAATGGCAGAAGATCTTTATCAGATCCTTCCAAGATATTTTTTGTTAACTTTTTCCATTCTCTCCTAAATTCCCTCGGGAATTTTAAGTAAGTTGATTATCGTAATAGAATTTGTTAAATATCTGTTTTGTCTTAAAAAATTGTTTAGTTGTGGACATAAAATCTTTGCACTTTCAATGTATGTGCACCACTCATTAATAGTTCGTACTTTCACATTTTTCTTATTTTTATACAGCTGCAACAGGTGAATCTGGAGCTGTTAACGCTGAAAATGTAGGAAGTGATACAGACAGTGGAATTTCCAGTGATGGACAAGGTGGAGGGGTTATCAGTGGTTCGAAGAAAAAAGGAGCCTCCGACCTCCTTTCTGCTATTGATAAATCCTACTCCACCAAAGTTCAGGATTTCCAGGTATGCATCACCATATATATCTTTTTCTTGCCTCAATTTTGCTTTCACTCTTTCTTCCTAACATCTAATATGGTTTTCAACGTTAATCA